AATTAAAATGTGATATATTTAGGGATAAATTTTACAGAATATGTTTTAAGACCTGTAGAAAACTATAAAATATAAAACATTGATGAGAGAAAATCAAAGAAGAGACTAAATAAAGGAATTGGTGGTAATAATAATAATAAAATAAATGAAGAGGTTACCATGCTCAGGGTAAAAGATCTTATTTAAGGCATCAGTTCTCCCCCAAATCAGTCTCCCTTCAGCACACTCAATCCCAGTAAAATTTCCAACAGACTTTTTTTTTGTGGACAGATATTGACAAGTTAATACCAAAATTTTTATGGAGATGTAAAGGATCTAGAATATCCAAAATAACTTTTATCAAGAAAAATAAAGTTGGAGGACTTACCTGATTTTAAAACTTACTACAAAGTTACATTAATCAGGATAGTATGATATTGGCAGATAGGAATGGATATATAGATAATAGAATAGAATTTAGTATGAAATAAACCCACACATATGGTCAGTTGATTTTTATTTTATTTTTTGAGGGGGCCTGAGATTTTGATCACCTTTTAAAAATGTTTTATATTATAGTATACATAGAGAAAAATGCACACAGTCAATTGATGTTTAGCAAAGATGACAAGTCAGCTCAATGAGGAAAAGATAATCTTTCAACAGTTGGTGCTGGGATAATTGGATGTCCGTGTGCAAACAATTTAACTTCAACTTGCATGTCGTGTCATATGTAGTCATTAGCTCGAAATGAATGGGAGACTCAGTTGTAAAGGCTAAAACTATAGAAGCTCTATAGGAAAATGTAAGAGAAAAATCTTAGTGATTTCGGTTTAGGCAAAGATTTCTTAAACAGGACACAAAAAAGCACAAAGCGAAAAAAATTCATTACTTAGCCTTCAAAATTAAAAACGTTTGCTTTTTGAAAGACATAATTAAAGAAATGAAAAGCAAGGCACAGACTGAGAAAAATAATTGCAAAACATATACCTGATAAAGGATTTGTACCCAGAATATAGAATGGACTCTTGCAGCTTAATAATGAGAAAAAAAACATGGGCAGAAGATTTGAACAGACACTTCTCCAAAGGGATAAAAAAATGGTCAATAAGCATGGGAAAAGATGTTAAATTATTTAACATTAGGGAAATGGAAATCAAAACCACAGTGGAGATAGACCATTGTGCACCTATTAGAATGGCTAAAATTAGGGTGCCTGGGTGGCTCAGGCAGTTAAGTGCCTGCCTTGGGCTCAGGTCATGATCCCGGGGTCCTGGGATCAAGTCCCGTGTCGGGCTCCCTGCTCAGTGGAGAGTCTGCTTCTCCCTCTGTCCTTTCTCCCTGCTCGTGCTCTCTTTCTCTCTCTCAAATACATAAAGTCTAAAAAAAAAAAATAGAATGGCTGAAATTAAAAAGACCAACCATATCATCATTGGCAATGATAAGGAAGAACTGGAACTCTTATATCCCACTGATAGAAATGTAAAATGGTACAGACCCTTTGAAAAACATTAGCAGCTTATTTAAAAGGGAGACATACACTTGCCATATGACTCACCTTTACCCAAGGGAAGCAGGAACACGGATGTACACAAAGACTTTGATGCACATGTTCATAGTAGCTTTATTAATAATAGCCCAAAACTGGAAGGAACCCAAATATCCATCGGCTGAGGAATGGATAAACAAATTGTGACATATTCGTACAATGAAATATTGCTCAACAACAACAACAAAAAAAGGATTGAACTGTGATCTGCTGATAACCCACAATAACATGGATAAATTTCAAAAGCATTCATGCTAACTAAAAGAAGCCAGAGACAAAAGTCTACAAACTGAATTATATCATTCATGTGAAATTTTGGAAATGGTGAAACTATAGTGACAGAACTTTGTGCATACATGGTATTTTTCTTTAAAAAAGGGGGGGGGAAGCAAATGAATGGTAGGTTTTTTTGCCCACCTGTGTATCACAGCAGAGGGCATACTGCTGTATTAAAAGTGCATGAGAAATCAAAAATTTGCCATAATCACCCAGTGAATGAAGTAGTTGATTAAGTTGAATTTTTACTATTTGGGGTCAGTGAAATGTGACTATAACATACTGAGATTTTTTGTTCTGGCACCCTCAGATGGGCTCTGAGAAAACTTCTAGATAGCTAGTACCAAAAATGATGTCCTTACAGCTTCATCATTGGAATAAACTTATAACCTCTTGAATTTAGTCCTTTAAGGGTACAAGTGTTTTGAGAATTATCTTTTTTTTTCCCCTCAAAGATAATTGAGTTTAGTTTTCCTTTTTTTTTTTAAGATTTTAGTTTGTTTATTTATTTATTTATTCATTTGATGGGGGGCAGAGCACAAGAAGGCAGAGCGGCAGGCAGAGGAAGAGAGCACAGATTGGTGAGGTGGGGGGCAGAGGGAGAAGCAGACTCCCCACTGAGCAGAGAACCTGAAACAGGGCTGAATCCCAGGACCCTGGGATTATGACCTAAGCCGAAGGCAGACCCTCAACCTAATGAGCCACCCAGGCGCCCCTAGTTTTCCTTTTTAAATTACTTTTTTTTTTAAACAGTCACTTCGGACTTTTGCTGGTAATAGCCAGTAATATCTGATTTTATTTTCAGATAAAGAGCCAAAGTCAGGAATCAAAGGAACCAGCCCAGTGGCTGCAAAGCACTCCTGAACATTGACTCAGGATGACCAACAGCCCAACAGCTCCCCAGGCAGGAGCCCCAGAAAGGATAAGAAATAATTTTCTAATAAACAGAACTGTCTGAATTGACATGGACTACTTGGGGATAGGTGAATTCCACAAGGTTCAAGTGGTGACTGCAGACTCCATTGTCAGGAATGCAGGGGAGAAGTTTCAAGCATCTGATGAGGTGTTAGGCCGATGGGAGTGCTCTGTGGGTACACGGCTGGAGCCTCGCTCCCGAAAGGGCTTCCAGCTGGAACCGTCCTGAGCTTCACGTGAAAGGCTTCTTCCAGCTTTGGATCTTGTGGATGTTTGGATAAAAGCCTTCTGTGGCGTGCCATTTGAATTCAGTTTTCAGGACAGCAATCCCCTAACCTGTTGTTAAAGATGTTATAGAGCGTCACTATACAGTTCTGAAAGATACCATCCTGTACGGGTTGAAAACAGCCCCAGAGATCATCTGCAGTAAAGCAAATGTGCATATTCCTGTTTGCTTCGAGGCTACCGAATACCTTTTCCTGACACACCGAGTTTTCTGGAAAATAATTGAAGAATTGCCCTTGTTACTGGTTTAATGGAAGAGATTGCTAGATCTCAAGTGCAGACATATATCTTGGGGTAAACGCCAAAAGGCAGAGTTCTTTTTCCGGAAGTACTCATGGCTTAAAATAATATATTCAGTACTTAAGAGAGCTAGCGTCTTCTTCCAAATAGCCTGGCAGAAGAGGAGAAAGCCCCAGATGGTCGGGTTTGGCAGTGCCTGGGCCATTGTGTTTGGGACACCATCTTTAAAGTAGAAGATTTATTTCATAGTCAAGCAGGGAAGGTGAAGCATACTTTAGGATGGAGTATTTAAATGCCCCCCTCCTTAGAAGTTGAGAGAGCATTAACACCGATTCTTTTCACTAAATTAATCCCTATTGTAGTCCTTCTACTTATTTGTTCAACAAATATTTAGCAAGCACCGCGGAGGATTGTCCTGTGGGAGATGCTGTGAGGGGCACAGATACAAACGGGATACCAGCCTTAGCCTGAAGTAACTCGAAATGTATTTGGGGCAGACGATAGAAAAGGAAGCAGCTCCAGGAGTGTGTCTGAAGCATGCCAGTTGAATGGATTAGGGAATAGGCACAGTGGAGGTCAAAGGAAGGAAAGGATATTGCTTTTGAGTTATTTAAGGGAAGAGTGGTTTCTATGAGCCAAGCAAGCAGCCTCAAGGAAGGGAACAAGCGTATTCTATTTGGCAGAAATGTCAAGGAGAATGAGAGGCAATTACTTTGGCGATTAGGATCTCGCTGTTGACCTTCAAGAGTAGGACTTTGAGGAGAACATGCTATCAGAAGCCAGATTGTAGTGAGCTACAGGGCAGGTGTATTTGGGGAAATGGAGGATTGGTCCCTCATTGAAGATATCTGCTAGTCAAGGGGGAAAGTACCAGAGAGTCAATGAGATTTTTTTCCTTAGAAGGAGAAATTATTATTTTGAAAGCAGAGTCGAGTGGGTTATTGAAGGGAGAGGTTAAATATGTTTGAAAGGGAGTAATTGCATTGCAAGATCCCAGGGAGAAAAATGTTAATAAAGGAAAGAACCACGGGATAATTGATAGTATTTTTGATAGGGAAATGAACTGCCATAATCTGTATTTTTGCATTTTATGTAAAGACATAACATTAAGAAACTGAAATATCATTAGTGCTTAGTAGTTCAAGTAAGAAGTTGGGCAGGAAGAAAGATTAAAAGTAGTTCCATATTTAGAGTCTCTTTCTTTAAAGAACATTAATGATTTATACCCTCTGGTAGTCATTTAGCGGGATTATTCCTTATTTTCCAATGGAACACTAAGAAACGCACACTGAAGAGAGTCGTTTTCCTGGACCTCCCCTCTGCCTCTTACATCCGTCAGACTTACTGCCCGAACGCGCCAGAGCTTGTCATGCTAACCACCATTTCACATCACTGGTTGTTGAATGAGGTTGGGAAGGAGAGGCCCCATGGTGGATGAGACTTACCATCCCCATGAAGCTTGCTTTACTACAGGACAGTTTTCCAAGAGCTCTGTCACTGAGGAGGAAGCGAGTTTAATCACCCACAATGACCAGCACTGTGGAAGATGTTGGAGGGCTCGCCAAGACACCGGGAGAATATTTGTGTGGGTGCGTTGTGTGTGCTCACTGAACCTTCTGAATGTGTATTCCATGACACTACCTCCTCACCATTTGAGATCACTGTTCATGCCTCTGGCTCCTTCAGAATTCAGTGAGTCATTTAAAGGTGTTTTTCTCCCTAAAGGACCTCACAGTGTTACCTTTGTCCTCCTCAGACACAGGTGTGTTTGCCGTGGTGAACAGCCATTCCTTGTCTCTGCTCGGGAAGCTGACGATCAGCGCGGCCTTTAACGTGGTGTACATCTACACCTCTGAGCTGTACCCCACAGTCATCAGGTGCGCCTCACACATCCTGCATGTTTTGCTGTAGACGCTTGCAGCGGCAGAGGGATGGTTCTCGTTTCACTGGGACCATAGTTAGCATGGGCCAGCAGCGATTCAGCAAGCAGTCCTAAGCCCAGAAACTGCCTGTGTAGACCACACTCGGCCCACTTGGCTGAGGAAAACGTAGCTGTATTTTGGGCTGAACTCCCTTGTGTAAATCATGAGGGAAGTTCTCTACACTGAACACATCCCATCACCCAAAGAGTGCTCGGATGCCATCTTGATTTCAGCGGATTGGATTTATTCAGTCACCCATCCTGTGTCAGGCACATGTCAGGCAAGGGGACTAGAGGACCTACATTTTCATTCAGAATATACACATTGTTAAAAAGATAATTACACTTAGAAGTGATGATGAGGTTTCCATATTAGTTGTTAAATGTGGTTTCTAATGAGGAGGACATGCTCCTATCAAAAAGAACATACTCTGAAGTTTCCCCTCATAAAATAAGTCTGAAAACAAGATGGGAAGGGCAGGGATGTAGCTCAGTCTTCTTAGAACTGCCTCTGAGGGCCGGGCAGGAGCTCCCTGGCTCAGCACTTCCCCAGGCTTTTCAGAGATCATTCCAAATGTTTCCCTCATCCGTGCGAACTGAATGATTCTTTCTGCCTATTAATTTTAAGTCCCTTTCCCTCCAGTTTTTCCCAGGCTGTCTGTGATTGGCTGGGCATTTCCTAATTATTCCTCTGACCTGTTTTCTCTGGCGGCGAGCTGTGATGCTAGGATGACCATTTTGCCATTGCTAACAATTAGGCTGGGGTGAGAGGGCGCTGCGTGGCCACCCCACCTCACCCCACCTGTAACCACTCTCATTCCCGCCCCCTCTCACCTCTTGCATGTCCATACTCCTCACGAAGGTCACGTTCCTGGTCTCCTGAGAATATGTGCTCAATTCCTAGTCATACGCCTGACCCGTGAATCATCAATTTGTTGAATTTAAATAAATGGGCAGACTTCTCAGATCATAAAGGCCCGGCTCTTCATGGGTATATCAATTCATAGGAAACCTCACACAAAAACCCGTAAGAATATTTGACAAGAAACATTCGCATGGTCATTTCTACAACCGTCCTCCATAATAACTGCACTGTCCAGTATGGGAGTTACTAGCCTCATGTGGCTATTTAAATTTAAACTAATTAAAATGAAGCAAATGAAAAACCCAGTTCCTCGTTCTCACTAGCCGCATTTCGAGTGTGAATAGCTGTCTAGAGGCTTCCATATTGGACAGTGCGGTTATAGGACATTTCCAGGAGCTCAGAATGTTCTAGCAGGCAGCACTGCTCGGGCTTCCTCCACCTTGGGATTTATTATTACAGGCCCATTGTCCCACAGGGTCTTTACACTCCCCCCTCCCCCACCCCTGCCAGAACTTACTGATTTTTTCCCCCCTTTTTATGCCTTTCAGGAACGTTGGGCTTGGAACTTGTTCTATGTTCTCCCGAGTTGGTGGGATTATTGCCCCCTTCATTCCCTCACTGGTTGGTTTGTACCTCCTAGTTTTGTTTTTCTGGATTCTCTGCTTTGGAAATGCTTGTGCCTTTGAGTAGAAGGTGGTAATGAACAGTTGCCACTTAAGATCCCCCTGCCTCGCATGGGAACCTTGTATCTTTTAGATTACATATCCCTCAGGGCAGATGGGCTTGGATCCAGGATGCTCTTACCCCCAGGCTCCGCGTGTTTGCTTATCTGCATTCACTGGAGAGTTAGCTAATGCCAGTGTGCCCCTTCCTATCTCCATTCATCAGTTAGCCAGTCAGTGAATATTTATTAAGCTTCTGCGGTGTGTTGAGCACTTCGACACATATCATCTCGAGTAAGCTTCACAAGAACCATGTGAGGCGGGCATGGTTGTTGCCCTCTATTAAAGATGAGAAATCAGCAGAAGCAGGTTAGGTAACTTGCCCAAAGGCACACCACTTACGCAAGAAAATTAGAAGAGAAACATGCCTAGCAGTGTGTCTATTAAAAGTTTTTAGCGTTTCCTAAATGTCGTAGTCAAAAGAAAGGGGGTAGACCTAATGGCAGCCCTGAAAATCCTTCCAGTCTTGAAATGTTCCAGTTCTGTGACGGATTAATCCCTGGAGCCCCTGCTCATGTCTCTGCTGAGCAGACCTATTGCCCTCCCAGCCAGCACTCAACGAGGGGTGCCTGGATGTGCTGTGTAGACAACTGTTCTCCCCACTAGCGATACACCCAGGGGGTTCCCACAGGACCAGCCAGGAGGGTCCTTGGCTTCACGCAGCATGGAAATCAAATGTGAGCCAGCAGGAGGTGAAAGTTTATTGAAGATCTAGAGAGAGCAGATACAGATGGAGTGACTGTCTGGGAGGCTCAGAAAGGAAAGGAAGGAGTCTCATCTTTGTCCATGGGGTTGGGAGTGGTCTGGTGTATGTGTCCTCTCAGGCATCCAGGCATCCAGGAACCGGTTAGGACAAAGACAAGGGCCCCGGTGTTATTCCTTGGAGCCAAGGTGTCTTGGCGTGGAGATGTCTAGAATGTCTCCAGTGGTCTGGAATGCACATATGATAGCTTCACCTGGTTATTGTCACCTGGTCCTTCCTTAGATGTTATCTATTCTAGAGAAATCATTAAGTCCTGGCCTCTTACAAGAAGGACCTCTATGCGATTTGCGTTACAAAGCATGTGTAAAGTGGGCTGGGAGTGCAAGTTCTAGCAAGAGGAGAAGCAGGAAAAGCAGCAAAGGGAAAAACAGCTTTTTCTCTCATAGCATCCCTTTGGTTTCCCTGTCTCACTAGTACAGGAGGATGTCTCTGAAATACCACTGTGGCCTTTTCTTTCTTTCTTTCTTTTTCTCCCTTCCTTCCTTCCTTCCTTCCTTCCTTCCTTCCTTCCTTCCTTCCTTCCCCTTTCCTTTCCTTTCTTTTCCTTCCTTTTCTTCCTTCCTTCCTTCCTTCCGTCCGTCCGTCTTTGACTTGCAGTATACTTCCTTTTCATGAGTATCTCTTTCCATGTTTCGTGCTTAATTTTACACTATAAGACCATTTCTCTAATATAAATTAGTTCCATTCTGCAAAGTGTGTGGACATTAGGGGTTTATCTCTAAAGATCTCCGAATCTGGATGGCTCTCCTAGAACATTAGAATACCTAGCACTGTGCCTCTGTTCCTGCTCAGTTGAGAAGAGATGAGAGTGTTGTGTCCCCCTTGATCCAGCAGCACACCCACAGTGTTGGACTTGTGTTTGCATGTGGGCTCCAGAAGTGAGATTCTCCCCTCCCACCTCCATCCCTCGCCCCACTTTGTCCATCATCTTTTTACTTCTGAAAAATCAGGCAGAGGATATCCTAACTAGGAGTGGTTCTATCCACACAATTTGGAAGTCCCAAAGAGAAAAGCATAAAGCTAAGCAACTCCTATACAGGAATTCAAGAATGTTGATCAGCTCAGAAAGGCCCCAGAGTAACACCCCAGTGGCTCGAGAACAACACATTTTTCTATGTCATTATCTTTGAGCCAGTTTGTTTTTCAAGAAACTGTAAATTTTCCTGAGAATGTCTGTCGGATCTCTGAAGCAAAGCTGTATCACCGTGTTCAGGTAGTTTCCAAATCACACGGATGTGCTAGGGTTCTTTAGGGTTTTCTTTTTCTTTTTGGGGTGTTCGTAATTTTAACACCATCCTCTGGGCATGTTGCTGAAGCGGAAGAGCGAGGTTCTCGTCTCATGGAGTTAAAGAATGAATCTCCCGGACAAAGGAGAGTGAGGAAAGGGATAGAGTTTTTATTAAGCAAGGATACAATAAAAAAGCTCTCAGCAGTGAGGGGCCCCAACAGGTTTGCCCCTGAGGGCTTTTAGGATTGGTCTTTTATTGAAAGCTAACCAGGGAACTTAAATCTTTTTAATTCCTCTACTGATAGCACTTTTGTGTAAGGACTAGTGATAACATCTTTAATGGCTTACTTTTTTTAGGGTCTGGTTATTCTCTGTTGGTCCCAGGTGACTGTCATAAAAAAAGACCCCCCTCCTCCGACACCTAGGGCAGGGTGGTCCGGTGTGTTCCCTTATCTCTGGTTTCCTTACACCTCCACATTTTGGGGATTTCTGTGAGCCTGATCACGGGAGCCCCCTCCCTATCTCTCCCTACTAGCCCTGCCTGTCCCCTCACTCGGTGCTAAGTGAATCAGCGAGCATACTGATTGGCTGATTCCAGTGTGGAGAACTTTAAAGTTTATGGTGAGCGAGTATTTGAGGTGTCTCCCAAGCGAAGAGTATGTGGAGATCCCTGTGTTCTAAGCGAGTTGCCTGCAGTGAAAGCAGTACCCACCCCCCTGCTTCTGATCCGATCCACACCTCTGCCACCTCTCTGTGTACTCGCTCCCGCTGCTGCGTGCCCGAGCAACCACTCCATGATTTTCCAGGGTAACTCTCCATGGGGAAGGAAGTGGCTTATTGTGTATGCTAGTGGGAATAGTAAACATGGCCATGCCTCGGTCATAAGCCTGCTGATGTCACGTGCTGGGAAATGGATACCGAGTTTTCGTATGTTTTTGTTCTACTCCCTGCCCCCACAGAGATACGTGCAGTGGTCTTTACCCTTCATTGTCTTTGGAGTCACTGGCCTGACTTCGGGCCTCCTGAGTTTATTATTGCCGGAAACCCTTAACAGCCCATTGCTAGAGACATTTTCCGACCTTCAGGTGTATTCATATCGGAGGCTGGGGGAGGAAGCATTATCTTTACAGACCTTGGATCCGACACAGGTATGGCACAGTCTTCATAGTCTTCTTTTTCTTTTTTTAAGATTTTATTTATTTATTTGACAGAGAGACACAGCCAGAGAGGGAACACGAGCAGGGGGAGTGGGAGAGGGAGAAGCAGGCCTCCTGTGGAGCAGGGAGCCCGATGCGGGACTCGATCCCAGGATTGGAATCATGACCTGAGCCGAAGGCAGACGTCCAACGACTGAGCCACCCAGGCGCCCCAGTCTTCATAGTCTTCTTAATCTTTCAGATGTACCTCTTGGGATGATGATAGTTTGGGGGGGCGGCAGAAGAATGTTCTGGTTAGATTTAATAAAACCAAGCAAAACTGTTGGAAAACAGAGGTGTGAGATTAATAGCAACTGGTTTTTTAGAGAAATGAAGGTGGCTGGTGATTCATTCACTTTCGTAGAACACTTTAGGGTGAAATCTAGGGGAGATGTCATAAAAATGCATTTGTGGGTTGAGTGCTAGCTAATAATGTTCATTTTAGAAATGTCATGGCGTCATGTGACCACTCTGGTTCTCCTTTCCCCTTTCAGTCTGCAGACAAGGACAACACTTTAGGCAGTGAGAGTGAGGAAGAGGAGTTTTTCGATGCAGATGAAGAAACCCAGATGATTAAGTGAAGAGCCCCGGCTCCCCCCTCACAAGCAGATGATCTCCTTGCCTCTGGCAAAGGCAGGCTTTTCCAGGAAACATAAGAATTGTAGAAGCACAGGCTTGAACATGCATGGAAGGTCCTCAGCATGGGCTCATTTTTTTTTCAGGCACAAAGGACGGTGGAGAAGAGATTTCATGAGTGAGGACATCACGGTACTGAGGGAACAGTCATTCCTTAGTCCACAATTCAGGTTTATTTCCGAACCATGGCTTCTGGCCAGATAGCTCAAATCCGCACGCCAGAGTGGAAAGCTAATTTGTTTCTGGAAGTCTGACTGTGTTGCTTATCCTTGATCATGACCTAAAGGCAGACATGTAAAATTCCTTCTCACCTCGTTAGTGGGATAAGATAACCCATCCTTAAGATTTCATTCTAATACCATATTTGACGTCTACCCCCATCATCTGTGCCTCACCAGGAATCTCTTGAGGCCGGCTGTTGTTCGCATTCCAGTTTTTTGCCAGAGGAAAAGCACTGAGAGGTGATTGTATGTGGCCCAAGGCCTCCAGCTTTACCCTAACTGTCCACCCCTTGCTTCCCAAGCTCAGGGTTGGCTTGAGCTCCTCGTGCCTTGAGTCCCACAGACGATCGCCTAGGAAAAGCCAACTGTACTGAAGCGATTTTCTGAGAGCCCGAGGTGTGGCTGCAGTTCCCTGTCCACTCCCTTTGACAGTTCAGACCTGTGTGCGTCTCCAGAAACTGGTCCATCTCAGATTCCAGTACCAGCACTCACTTCAGAACCGTGCTCGGTAAGGGATGAAGCTTTGTGAAGGTGGAGGGCAGTTGCAGAGTGACAGTCATGTTGGCACTTGAAAGGGGGCAGCTTTATAAGGAAGAAAAGAAAATGATCTGTCACGGGTTTTTGTTTGTTCTGTTTTCGGCATTGTGCAACGAGGCACTTGGGCAACCATTAACTTGAACACTTCTGATCCCAGATCAGTCCCTGCCTCTGTAATCAGAGTGAAAAGCAAGTAATTTCATAGGAAATGTGGCTTTTTTCATGAAGTACTGCCAACTTTCAAATAAGTCTGTCATACTTAAGTTTTCTAAAATCATATGCTGGAAATACCTGTTTCCCTTGAAACTTGAATGCTATCTCAAGTAGGAGTAGTATTACCCTGGAATCAACAAGTTTGTGCAATATGGCCTAAGGCTGCTTTCCCAACAAGGAACATTTCTGTGTCTTCAGAATTTCCGTTTTACTAACTCTGGGAGAAAGAGAAGTTGCATTGGAGGTAAAGAGAAGACGTCATGGGGCCTGCTTCTGGAAATCTTAGAGGCATCACCCCCACTTGGCTCTGACACTTTCCCGTCCTCTTCCATGCTAACCTCTTGGTTTGCACTCGTATCAGTACCTTTGTATTTGTTAAAGTATTTTTATGTCTTTTATGCCCTTGATGATATTTTGAGCTCTTCATAAATAAGGGCCATCTCTCCTGCTGTTTGTTTCTCCCTGCTATGCCCAGAAGAATATGGGCCTAGACACAATAAGGATTTAATAAATATTACTGTTTCTAACCATCAAGAAAACTGTGGAACTCCTTACAGTATCATTTTTATAAATCCCAGGCAAATGCAACCCAAACCCCCAAACTGTGGAATCCTGCTTGTCCATCTCTGGCAGATGGAGACCCTGCCCCCGACCAGGAGAGGAAGAGAGGAGGAACTTACAAGGACACTTAGAAGGTCTTCTTAGTGGTTGGGCATTAAAAATAAAACACTGAACTAGCATATATGTGCTCTTTGGTCAGTTGGAGCGCTCTTTGCATTATGAGAGTAATACGTCCCATTATAGAAAATTTGGAAACTAGAAGTTAAAAAATCTATCACCCATAGGCCCAACACCCAGAGGCAACCAGTGTGATGGCTTCTTTCTAACTGAAGACCAGTTGGGAATCCATCTCTCTGTTGGCACTGGGGTTCCCTCTGCCTCTGGCTAAATAAATGAGGATTCCATTAGTTCTATCCCTGGGTCTCCTGCTTCCCCAGCTGTGGGGTGGAAAAAGGGAAGGGGGTTATACATGTTGCCTAATAAGGCCAGGCAGGCTACCAACTGCTCGAGTCAGTGTGTCACTGATAAGGTCGTCGTTTCTTTCTAGATGGTCCTTTGGTGAAGTTTAATATTTACTGTTTTTTCAATCTACCACCTTTTATAAAGAGATTTTTTTCCTTTTGATATTAAATGTTGAAGAATAGTGATTATAGAGAATGTGTACCTGTGTATATTTGCACTGATTAAATGACTGGAAAGCTTTTAATTTACAGGGAACATAATTTGTACAAATGATTTGTAAAAAGCATCTTTTTTTATTCAAAATTAAATTTCTCCTCAAAAACAGCAAGAAAAATGTAAGACACATAAGAAACCCCCAGTTTCTAGGGTCAAAGGTCTTAGAATAGCTTGTCCAGAACCTTGGTACCAATATGTTAAAAGAAACAGTGTTGTAGTTTCCTGATTTGGTGAGTTAAAACCAGTGCCCATTGAAAATGCAATATTTGTCATTTGGCTGCTTTCCAGCAATATAGACATTCTTTAGTATTTAAAAATAAGCAAATAAAATACAACAAATAAGAAGCAAATGAAAGTTTCTGAGGCACTGCTTAAGTGAATATAATCTGGGCAGGTATTTTTGTGGAGGTCAAATTGATGAAGGTACCGTTAGTAGATTTATATTCTTTTTTTTTTCTAAGATTTTATTTATTTGACAGAGTGAGAAAGCACAAGCAGGGGGAGCAGCAGAGGGAGAGGGAGAGGCAGGCTCCCCACTGAGCTGGGAGCCTGATGTGAGACTCAATCCGGGAACCCGGGATCATGACCTGAACCGAAGGCAGACGCTTAACCGACTGAGCCACCCAGGCACCCAGTAGATTTATATTCTTAACAAAAACACTGAAGTAATTGTCACTAGCATATCAGAATTATTATCTTTTTCAAGATTTTATTTATCTACTTGAGAGAGAGCACACAAAAGCAAGCGGTGAGGGGACAGGGGAGGGGCAGAGGGAGAGGGAGAAGCAGACTCCCTGCTGAGCGTGGAGCCCAATGGGGGCTCAATCCCATGACCTGAGCTGAAGGGAGATGCTTAATCAACTGAGCCACCCAGGCACCTGCATATCAGAATTAAAATACAGCTTTCCAATAGGACTTACTCTTCCATTACAAATTCTTATTAGATCATTGGTTCTGAGATTGGAAAGTTATCTATAGAGAATTTTTTAATTAAATAAAGTGCAGATATTTTGGCTTCTTATTAATTTAATAAAGAATCACAAAGCATAGACATTTGTTGTTCTTAAAGAATGTGTTAGGATGTATAGAAGCATCTTTGACAAACTGGGCAAATATAGAATCTGCTAGAAATTATGGATGGTATGTGGGACAGGGGCTGTAGCAAAGTTGGGGAGTCATGGCACAATAGGTAACTATAAAAATATTTTTAGAGGGGCGCCTGGGTGGCTCAGTCGTTAAGTGTCTGCCTTCGGCTCAGGTCATGATCCCAGGGCCCTGGGTTCAAGCCCCACATCGGGCTCCCTGCTCGGTGAGAAGCCTGCTTCTCCCTCTCCCACTCCCCCTGCTTGTGTTCCCTCTCTCGCTGTGTCTCTGTCAAATAAAAAAAAATAAAATCTTTCAAAAAAAATATTTTTAGAGAAAAATGCAAAGATGATGCATTGTTGGAAATTCATCTGTGTATTATATTAAAGGAGAAAGAACTTACAATTACCTCAATATATATATAAATATTATTTGGCAAAATTCACCTATTCAAAATAAAAGCCATTAGCAGATGAAACTTCCTTAGCAAAATAAGGGATATTGTACTACATGTGGTGAATTAGCACATAGGGTCTCTGCACCTTCCTGGGACCTTGGCCTTCAAACTTTCTTGATCATGACCCATAATAAGAAATGTTTTCTTTTTTGTATATATTCTCTCTTTCTCCCTCTTATTCTCACTTTCTCTTTCTCTCAACCCTTATTTATATAATGTTTAAAATATTTTATGTGTAGGGCGCCTGGGTGGCTCAGTTGTTTAAGCGACTGCCTTCGGCTCAGGTCATGATCCTGGAGTCCAGGATTGAGCTCCCTGCTCGGCGGGGAGTCTGCTTCTCCCTCTGACCCTCCCCCCTCTCATGTGCTTTCTCTCTCATTCTCTCTCTCTCAAATAAATAAATAAAATCTTTAAAAATATATATATATTTTATGTGTATAAATATGTGTGTATATATATAAGAATAAGTATTGTTTTGGGGTCCCTGGCTGGCTTAGTTGGTAGGGCATGCAACTCTTGATCTCAGGGTTGTAAGTTCAAGTCACACTTTGGTTTGTTTGTTTTTGTTTTTTAAGATTTTTATTTATTTGACAGAGACACAGCGAGAGAGGGAACACCAGCAGGGGGAGTGGGAGAGGGAGAGGCAGGCTTCCTGCCAAGGGCCCAATGCAGGGCTCGATCCCAGGACCCCGAGATCATGACCTGAGCCGAAGGCAGATGCTTAACGACTGAGCCACCCAGGCGCCCCTCAAGTTGCACTTTGGGTGGAAAGACTACTTAAAAAAAAAGAATAAGGGGGCGCCTGGGTGGCTCAGATGGTTGAGCGTCTGCCTTCGGCTCGGGTCATGATCTCAGGGTCCTGGGATCGAGTCCCGCATCTGGCTCCCTGCTCCTTGGGAGCCTGCTTCTCCCTCTGCCTCTCTCTCTCTGTCTCTAATGAATGAATAAATAAATAAAATCTTTAAAAAAAAAAAAAAAAGAATAAGGGCGCCTCTCTCAAATAAATAAATAAAATCTAAAAAAAAAAAGAATAAGTATTGTTTCATCGAAGTTTTATATATATATTTATGAATATATATAAATATAAATAAAATTTTACAAATATATAAAACTATATATATATAAAACTTCTTTGAAACAATACTTATTCTTGCTAGGCACACTGATAACTTATATTCTGTTCTATTTCATTTTTTTAAATACCATTTGTAACCCACTAATACCCCTACTGTGAAGTCCATTGTTCACTACTCTGTACTGCAAAGTCTTTAAAGCTAAAATGTACATTTCCCAAAGTCTCCTGCAGCTAGGCTTCTAGGTGTGATTCAGTGTCCTATCAGTCAGATACAGCTGGAATTTGGAAGGTGGGAGTGATGTGGATGCCATACTTGTGATGTGTCGGTTTTTTTCAGCTGGGGTCCACGCTGACGGAGGCATTTGGTTTTGCTGAGGCAGTTTCAGCAGCAACATTGACAGGGGCAACATCGATTAAAATCTTAACAAGATTTTAGGTAGAACGTAGATTGAACAAGATAGAACCTAGATAGAACAAGATTTTAACATAGAACCTAGCAAAATAATTCTAGTATTCATATGGAAAAGTAAAGATCCAAAAAAATTCAAGACAATCCTGAAAATTAAGAGCAAGCAGAGGGACTTGACTTTCCAGATACCGGAACTTATAAAGAATCTATAGTATTGGTGCAGCAATAGACAAGTAGAACAAATTGAACATAATAGAGATCCCAGAACAAGACCAAGCATATAAACAATTTGGCACTTTTCAAAGATGGCATCACAAATCAGTAGGAAAAGAACGAACTATTCAATTACTGATGTGAAAACTACTGGGTTTCCATATAAAAGAAAATAAAATTAGGTCCTTTCTTTTCACCATAACAAAAATAAATTCCAAGTGAATTAAAGACCTAAATGGAAAAAAGTAAAACTTCAAAACTATTAGAAAGTGATATAGGAGAGAGGTGCCTGGGTGGCTCAGTCAGTTGAGCATCCGACTCTTGGTTTCAGCTGGGGTCGTGATCTCCAGGGAATCAAACCCCTCATTGGGCCCTGCGCTCAGCGTGGAGTCTGCTTGAGATTTTTTCCTCCTCCTTCTCCCTACCCCTCCGCTCTTCTCCCCACACACACGTGCACACATGTCCTCTTTCTCTCTAAAATAAATAAAATCTTTAAAAAAAAAAAGTGATAGAGAAGAATATTCTTATGACTGACTTTGTGGGATAGATGGATTTCTCAGACAAAAAGTGAAAATCACAAGTCATTAAAAAATTGATATGCTTGATTTATCTAAATTTAAAATTTCCTTCTGTATGACTAAACATACCACAAAGTTCAAAGAAAAGCAGTAAGTTAGGAAAAAGTATTTGCAACTTCTGTAAGAGATAAGGATTAATACTCAGAATGTATCAAAAATAAGTGCAGCAAATTACCAACATCAAGAATAAAAGCATAGACATCACTAAGATCCTATAGGTTATAGAACATTATTATGAACAACTTTATTCCAGTAAATTTTACAATTTAGATGAAATGGAGAAGTATTTTGAAAGACACAAACTATGAGCTCACCCAAGGAGAAATATGTAATCTAAATAGCCTTTATCTTTGAAAAAAATTGAAGTCATAGTTACAAACCTTTTCACAGAGAAAGCTCCAGGCCCAGGTGGCTTTACTTGTGAATTCTACCAAGTATTCAAGGGAGTAATGTTACCAATTCTACACAGTCTTTCAGAAAATAGAGGAGAGGGAACATCTCCCACCTCATAGAAAGATCTAAAAAATTTACAAAAACACTACTACAGCTAAAAAGTTGTACAAGGTAGGTATCTGGATGGCTTAGCTGGTTAAGCGTCTGACTCTTGATTTTGGCTCAGGTCATGATCTCAGGGTTGTGAGATCAAGCCCCATGTCCGGCTCTGCGCTCAGCAGGGAGTCTGCTGGAAATTCTCTCCCTCTCTCTCTCCCTCTGCTCCTCCCCCCGCCACTCTCTCTCCAAAATAAATAAATCTAAAAAAAAAAAAGTATAGGTGTAGAAAGTTAAGCAAGGTGATAGGATATAGTCTATATGTAAAAATCAGTTGTATTTCTGTGTCCTAGCAACAAATAATTGGAAATTAAAATAAAAATGTACCTTATTTAGTGGATTACAAGCAAAACAGTAAGAACTTTATAATTAGATTGCCTGGGTATAAATCAGAACCCTGTCATTTACTAGATGTGTGACCTTTAATAACATTTAAGATTTTTCTTAAAAAATGCAAATCAGAAAGGAAAGTAATACGAAGTTTACAAAAATATTGTTAGGCAATTCACAGATGAAAAGATGCTCCATGGCGTACCTGGGTGGCTCAGTCAGTTAAGCGCCTGCCTTCGGCTCAGGTCATGATCCTGGGGTCCTGGGATCGAGTCCTCCATCAGGCTCCCTGCTCAGCGGGAAGCCTGCTTCTCTCTCACCCTCTCCCTCTGCCTGCCACTTCCCCTGCTTCTGTTTGCACGCTCTCTCTCTCAAATAAATAAAATCTTAAAAAAAAAAAAAGATGCTCCACTTCACTGGAGGGTCAGAGAAATGTAAATTGAAACAAAATTAAGATATAATTTAAAATACATTAGATTGAGGGGGAAGTTATAAAATCGAATTTTAAAGTTATGAAGAAAAAGGAATTCGCTTACATCGTCATAGAAGCAGAAGTTTATTCATCAACTGGCTTGTTAATAGGTTGAAAATGTGCATATTCTATGACACAGAAACGGCTTCTATGTATTTATCACAGAATAGTTTTCAGATATTTTGACTCTAACCCATTATAAGTAAAATGTTTTACACTGTGACGTATATGGTACACACATCTGCATACATATCCATTAATATAAAAAAAAAAGTATTTTTAAGATTTTATTTATTTGTGAGAGATAGTGACAGAGAGAGTGAGAGAGATCACAAGCGGGGAGGAGAGGGAGAAGCAAGCTCCTGCTGAGCAGGAACCTGATGCGGGGCTCGATCCCAGGACCCTGGCATCACGACCTGAGCCGAAGGCAGATGCTTAACGACTGAGCCACCCAGGTGCCCCAAAAAACAAAGTTTTGTAAGATAATCCTTACCCTTTGTATATACACTGCTTTGTATTTTCTATCTTATTTCACTTGAAAATGAAAAGAATGCTGGTAAAGACACAAAAAAGTGATTTCACAATTCATAAGCAGGTCAAAACGTGGAACTTAAAGAGTGAAACTTGATAAGCTCAGTTTTGGCCTTAATACTTGCCAAGTGCATGTATGCAAGGAGATGTGTATAAAATGCCCATTGTAGTTGTAGTAAAACAATGAAATTAAATACCTTTAGTAGGGGAATGTATAGGTACAATTTTATACTCAGAGAATGGAAGGAAACAGGAGTTTTATGTATTGAGGTGGGCAGAGCTCCACATTCTTGAACAAAATAGTGTTGGCAAGTTTTTGCTACATCAGAGTCGTTTCATGGTTAAATTCTTTAGTGAGCGACTGGAGTACTTGCTAATTATAGAGATTCAAATGTTTTTTATGCCATATTTACAGTCGAGACTATTGAAACTCTGTGGCAAAAAAATAGAGAAATCTCATTGTTATTCTCATTTATCCCTCCTCTCTATAGGGTGAAATTTCTTTTGAAAATGAGCTTTGCCTCTG